CGATTCAAAGAAAAACTATTATTTGCTAGAACTAATTGTGAATATTTGATCATTGGGATGAGAGTATTAATTACAAATTAATTTCTTTGCCCAAAGACTAGAAATTAATGTTGTGTTGGTATCTGTGATGGACCCATCATGTAAAATATTTGCTTATTTTGTTGTATATAACTTATGTGAGTTATAATACTTAGAAGGATAAATGGGCCTTTAATGAATTCATTTCTCATAGTGTGCAAGAAAAGGAAAGACAACAAAAATTGAATTTCATTTAGATTTATTTGAGATTTGTTGTACCATCTTTTTAAGTGGAATTTGATTTTTATTTCTAGTATAAACAAAATTGGTTTTTCTTGTTCGTTTGAAAATAATAAATTTAGTCTCTATCAAAATATAAATAGTTTTGGTTCTAGTTTCTTAATTGATAATTTATATATGCTTTGTTATTAGCTCCCATAATGAAATACTGCAAATAAGTTCACGAGAAACAAAATAAAAATTAAATGAGAACTCAATCACTTTATGGCATAAACATTTAAGTCATATCTCTAAACAGAATTCAGAGGCTTGTGTACTATTTATCTTAAGATAAATTGTACTTTTATTTCTCTATAATATTAAATATATAATTTTGATTATTTTTTTAAATATGTAATTTTAGTCACTTAATTTTATAAAATTCATAATTTTATTCCTCTCATTGAATGTTTATACCTGCTACAAATCATTAAAATTGTAACTTAATTATTATTTGACATTAAGTAAAAGATATAACAATTAATATTTAGGTTAAATTTTGTTATTAATTCTCATTTTTATCTCATAAAAGTGATAAAATGATATGAAAATAAGATATGAAAACGAGAATTAAAAATAAAATTTAACTTAAATATTATCAAATATTAATTACTGTGTCATCTATATAATATTAGGTTATCATGAATGTTACAATTTTAACGATTAATAGATGAACATTCAACAAAAACACCAAAATTATCGATTTTATAACATTGAAGGACTACAATTATGGATTTAAAATAAATTGACAAAAATTGCAAATTTGATATTATAGAGGGATTAAAAGTACAATTTAATCATATATCTATTATCTATTGAGCCAATTCGTTAAAAATTTAAAAAATTATTACAAAAAAATATTTTTCAAATAATTATTATTTTTAAAAAATAGATAGATTTTGTTTCTTAAAAATGTAAAAAGAAATTACTTATATTTAAAATAAATAGTTTAGAAACACAGACTAAAAAGGTTAAAAAAATGTTTATTGTATTAATTTTTTTTTTTTTAAGTTTAAACAAAAGGACCTATTATCTATTATATTATTTCATATTATATATTAGGTTTTGTTACGTATATAGATATTATGTGAAAAAATTATATTGATTCTTTTCCCTCTAAAATATCATCAAATTTTATTTTAATATTTTATCATAAAAATACATAATGCATAATTGTTTATAAAATTAATAAAGGGATACCTTGATTTGGTGCTCCGATTCTTTTATATATATTTTTTGAATCCCTTATGTAACTAATTTGTACAACTGTTCCACCATCTTAAAGTTAATTGCGCATCTTTTCACAAATAATAATTAAGGAAATTAAGTAAATTATAATTAGTGTGAATTTTATAATTTGAACATTAATTCAAACTATTATATTAGATATTTTTTTATTGAAGTTGATTGATAGTAGTAATATATATTCGAATACATAATTAAATTAAAGAAATTATGACCAATATGATTTATACAATTTGAACATTTAAACTAATAATACAATATACATAACTAAAATCAATTATTATATATTACTAATATATATATTCTAATACATAATTATAGTAATATATTACTAATATAAATTATAATAGATAATCATATATAATATATATTTTTTTATTTTATCATTTTTATTATAAGATCATGCCTTTCCTATATATCTATTTTGTGTATATTACTTGTTTGTGGGGAAGGGTTAGTAAAGAGTAGTCCTAGAGTTAAACTGGGTTTATAACATAAGAAAGTGTAAAGTTAGTTAAGAGAATGCTAAGACATAAATACTTAGGAAAATGAAAAATGAAATTTTATAAGTTTCAATTTTATAATAGTTAGATAGATAAATTAGAAAGAAGGTTCCCGAAATCCAATATTTCTTCTTGATTTTTGATCATCTCACAAATCCAGGATCTTCTTCAAGCTTGAGATTGAAGTCTCATATAGTTGAAGGAAGATCATTAGAGCATAGATTTCTAGAGATCAGAGTTGAGAAAGCTAGGTTATGGAAAAGTTCTTCTCTTCTTCAATGTTTGTTTCTAGGAAGCTAATATAAGGTAAAAGAAATTTGATCCTTGCTCCTTTTGATTGAATGTTTGTTCTTGATGTGGTTTTAAGCAAAGATCGTGGCTTAGTGTTGAATTTTTGGAGAATTTCTCTTGTTGGGTTTTGGGTCTTGCCAAAGGGAGAATGGTTTTTTTTTTTTTGTAAATTGAGCTCTCATGTGTGATTAGAGGCTTTTTATTTTATGATTTGATGTGGTGGTTGAAGTTTTGAACTATATAGGAAATGTTCTGGGCACTTGGGAAGCCCTACATGTGATGTTTTCTAGACTTTTTCATTGAGGGAGCCTTTATATATTGAAGGGCAAGGTGTAAAATGGTGGATTCCGCTTAGCGAAATTGATCATGCTTAGTGAAAATGATGAACAAGATGAATCTTGGTTGAGCAAATAAGCCAATCTCTCATGTGATTTGGGAACTCATACTTTTGCTTAACATAAAAGGTTGACTAAGTGAGTTTTAGCCTTTGTGAGTATATTTGAGAAAATTGCCAAGCGAAGGAATCTTTCTCAGTGAATTTCAGCCTTTGTGGTAAGTCTCTTTTGAGTCACTCAACGAGTTTTGGCATCTATGAGATGACATTTTTAATTTTCTCAAGGAAGTGATTTTCACTTAACAAATTTATGTCTATATGATTTTTAAACATTGATGTTTAGTCAACCAAAAATGTTGGCTTATAGGGTGTTGGCCCCTAATTGAAGGTCGTGCAAATTCTCTCAACGAGGGGTCTTCGTAAGAATTTTTTTTTCTCTATGGTGGAATTCGCACAGTGAGAAGGGCTTGCTTAGTGAATCATGTATTTTGACTCGATGATCTAGTGTATTTTGTGGTGTATTTTGGACAGCCTTGAAGGCTAAGAATGTGCGGATGACCAACTAGTGGTTATGTGTAATGTTGTGAATTGTTGTATGATGTGAATGATGTCTTGCATGAAGATGTGAGCCTATTTGTATGTGAGCCTATTTGTATGTGAGCCTATTTGTATGTGAGCCTATTTGTCGTTGTGTATGAAATTTTGTATACAATGTTCCATGATGTTGAGAGGTGATTTTTGGGGTTAAACCTCCTATTTTATGGTATCAATGAAAATGTTACCAAGGTGGTTTAAAGGAGAATGGTGTTAGCTTCCATGGGAAGCATTTTGTTGAAGTCATTCAATGGAAGATGTTAAACGGATATCTGTGAGAGCTTTGGACCCCATACTCAATATTATGGACATTTTCTTTTAAAAGAAATGGTTATTCTTTAAATGTGTTTTGAGAAAATGGTATGAAGCTAATTGCTTCATATTTGTAAAAAAAAAAATAGTTGTGTTTAGGTTTTTGGAACTAGATGTGAGTGACACAAAAGTTATGAGTTGCTTGGAGAACCCAAACTTAGTACTAGAAAGGTGTGTCAAATTTTGAGGATAAAAGGCTAACTAATCCCATATTAGGTATGGTATTTGCGAGTTGATGTTGTAGTAGACTCATACCTAAACTTTAATATTCTAAATAGTAATCCAAAATTCTCATAGTTTACATCAACAAAGTCCAAGAGGCGGTGTGAGGATAGTTTGTTAGGTCAAATTTAAATAAACTACTCATGTTGGAGATCTCTAAATTGTTTATGCATGATAACACATGATGTAATAGACTTGCAATGAGATGTATACATTTGCATTGTGTGGTGTTCAATTTGTGAATGTGTACCATGTTTCCTCTGCGTGTAGTGATGGTTTATGATGTCAGAGTGGTGTAGCTATGTGCTTAATGTTCATATTCATGTTGTTTACATTATTATATGTTTATTTCTTTGATATCAAGCTTACCCTTCTATCATATGTTTGATTGTAATGATGGTGTCTTTAACATGGGAAGAAACAAGGATTAGCCAATAGTCAAATTGAATTGCTTGTTAGAAGCATTAAATTCATAGAATATGAATCCTAAAACATTTAGAAAGAATATATCAAATTTATGTAAAACTGTCTTGAAGAGTTACTCATCTCCTTTTCTTCTTTTTATTTTCTTTGAATTGTTAGATTCAAAGAATATGAAGGATGAAAAAGAATAATAACTTTTTTTTTTACATAAGTGAATAATAATTCTTACACTTTATTTATAACATGAAAAAAGAAATCACAATGAAAAAAATAAAGAAAATAATACACATTTATCACAAAAAAAATCCATCATTTGATTGACAATAAAACATAAAATAATGGAGGAAAGGAAAAAAATGGTGAGACCCAATTAAATATTTTTCTTATGCCTAAAAGAAAGAAAGCAAGATAAAACTTAATGACCATGGAAACCTAAACTATCCTTATTTATTATACATTATCTTTTTCTAATTGAGACATTTATGCCATATTATATATATATATATATATATA